TGCTGGGATTACAAACGTGAGCCACCGTGCCCGGCCAAAACAGGTCTTTAAAAAATATATTTAGCTTTATGAAAAGTTTTATGAAAAATATATTTGTCCACATTTTTCTCATCTCTCCTTGAACCAGTATAAATTGCTTTAAGACAGGGTTCTGGGGCTATGCCAATGTCAGTGGGAAAAGAAAACAGGGGTGACAAGATTGGCATCAATTGATGCTGTGAGGAACAGGCCAGCTCTTTAAGGAAGGTGCCTCTCAGCTGCTCCTGGCTTCTGTGCTCATAGTTCACACGCACTGTGTTGTGTGCATGTCTAGGAAGATGCTTCCCAACCCTTTGCAGACCATGGCATAAGCAGAAAATGACAACATTGGAATGGCACACTGGCGTACCAGTTGGGGCTCCTTGTGGTCAATGCTGACTGGCCTCATCCTTCAGCCGCCCCTGGGAAGAGAGATCAATACATTGGCACATCTGTGGGAAAGCTCCCATTAGAGAGTGTGGGGAAGACATGGGCCTTCATGACACATTTCAGGTTCTCTAAACTGGCGAAGGGGAAGAGTCTGGGCTTCCTTTGACCTTTTGTTCTCGAAGAGCCCAGCTGTGCACACGCCTCACCCCTGCACTATAGCTCCCATTTGGGTAGTGAAAAATCACAGGACTCAGGGGAGTTATGCAGCATTTGGGAATGGAGACCTGGAAAGCCATACGCTCCTCCTTGCTTTCCCGTGAGCCTCTCTTCTTGCTGTCCCCTTTACAACCAACAGTCCCTGCAGGGGGAAGGCGCTCTGCTTTAGTCAGTTCCACCTCCCTTCCAGATCTCATCCTCCTTCCAGCCTAATTTTCCTCACACTCTCATGCTTCTTCCCACTGCTCACCCCCCACCGCCGGCTCTCCTCCAGCACATCACACATTGCGCCCAGGCATGCTGAACTTGTCTGCCATCTGTGAACAGGCCCATGTCGCCCAAGCCTTTCTCTTTCCCTGTCATGCCATAGCCTCTTCTAGGAGCGCTCAGCCTGCTGTTTCCACTCAGACCTCCCCTCCTCAGCAAAGCCTCCTTCTGCGTGCTGCCGGAGAGCCATCCCTACTTGGGTTTGTGTTACTGCTGTGTATGGCAGCATCTTCACAGTGCCTGATTGCCCATCTTGGCCCATCGTAGGTGCTCAACAAGTGTTTCTCAAATGACCACCAGCCTACAGAGGGACCCTGACACTAACTCCACCTCACCCCGACTCTTGGCAGTCACTCACTGTCCCCTTGATGGGAGCCCAGCCTCTTGGGGGACCTGTCTTGTGGCCATTCCATGCTCTGTCACCCCACTGCCAGGAAACTAGAGCCACACTGCCTGGATGAGACTCATCTTTACCAGCTCGCAGCTCTGCCCGCTGCCTGCTCAGGAGTGGCCGCCAGCTGAGGGACTGAGCTGATTACAAGTGAATCAGCACCAGGCTGATTGTGGTGTGAAAAAGGGGAAGGGTGACTGTGTCTTAGCCTCAGTCCTGGCTCCCCTCCTTCTAGCCCTGACCTGCAGTAACAGCACATGGCCACCAGAGGCTCTACTGGGCGACTCATGCCCCGCGGAGAAGAGCTCAATGGGAGAGCATCTGACCCAGCTCCCAGCAGATGAGAAAGGAAGCGTTCAGGAGACTTCTACTCTCAGAGGTCTCTAGAGCTGAAGCCCCGCAGCCCCACCCGGCTGCCTTATCCTTGTGTTTTGCCCCTCATGAGTCTAGAAGCTGTTTTCTCACACCTTAACATCTTCCTCCTTGCTTGCCATGAGCTCCTCTGCTTGCTGCCCCCTTTACAGAACAACAGTCATGGTACAGGGAAGATGTCTCCACTTTTGTCAGTTCTGCCTCCTTTAGGAGAGTGTCAGGCCTAACCCATGTGTGCTGCATCTTTCAGGGCATGGAAAAGACAATTGTCCTGTTTCATCTTTTCAACACCTCTTGACTCTCTCCCACGGTCTCCTAACAGCCAGCTAGGTTCAGGGCCTCCCATCTCTGGCCAGGATTAGTGCAATGGTTTTCTGAAGGGACCCAGGCTCCAGGAAGCCCCTTGCCCATCAAGTCTCCACCCTGGAGCCAGACAGCCCTCACTGCCATCAGACATCAGCCTCCCGTGGCTCCCAAAGGCCGGACATCCACACAGCACCCCACAACCCCAAGATCTGGCTGCTTGATTTTCCTGCCCTGTGTCCCTCCTCTCCCCTGGTCCTCTACCCAACAATCGGCCCAACACACTGTGATGTTTCAAGTCTTTGTACTTTGCACACATTTTCCTCCGTGGCCTAATTCCCTCTCTCCACCCCTCATTCCACACCTCCTCTACCTTTACCCTTGCTCCCCATTCTTTCTTCATCTGGCACACAGCCCTGCTTATCCTTCAAAACTGCCACTTCCTCTGTGAAGCCTTTCCTGACTTGTGTCCCAAAATCCCTCCTCTGAACAAATCCTGTTCCCTAAACATGCATCTGTCATTGTATCCGTCACTCAGAGTTGCAATAATTACTCACAGACATGCCTGTCCTGTGTCCTCCACCGGCTCTGTACCTCCATGTGGGACCCGTGGCCAGCACACATCGGTGGTGCCCAAAAGCTGTTGCACTGGAGTTGTTCCCTCTGCCCCATCACCTCCCACCTTGAGCAAGTCCTTTAGACAACCTGAACTCCAGTTTGTTGATCTGCAAAATGGAGAGATGTGAGAATCAGAAGAGAACACGTAATGAAAGGGTGTTATAAACTGCTAAGGGCTGTACAAATGTTTGTATTGCATTTTTGTCTTCCAGACCAGTGTTTACCTACAGTTGCCTGTGTGGAAATCAGAAGATTAAAGGAATGCGATGTGATCTTTTTGTAATTTCCCCACTTGGGTCAAGGGAAAAGCTGGTCGAGAGTAAACCATTAATTCATCTCCCTGCAGGCCCCCCAATCTTCTCTAGAGTTCTGGGTTAATGATTCTGAGGTTGTTTTCCTCACAGAGCCAATTCATGTCTAATCTTTGGCATGTTCTCCCCTTTGTTAAGAATAACTTGACTCACTCCATTAATTCCTCATCTTGGGGTCAGGAGCCTTGTTTTGCGGAAGGAAATGGTGGCTGCGTGTAAGTCTTGGGCCTTCTTTCTTTTTCAACCCTCTTTCTTTCATGGATTCATGCCTACAATTCCCTCTATGGACAGAAGAGACCTCTCTTTACCTGCATAACGAAGTGTGTGACTTTTCTCAAAAGTAGCTTTAGGAATTAACTATGGAGGTCCAAGTAGCAAGGATGCTGTGACCTAACTGGCAACCCCCTCATGTGTGGTTTAATTGCTTTTGGAATCCCAGCAGAAGAAATTTTCTGAAGATCTGGTATGGAGAAACCATTCTGGGCCTGGCTTTTAAGTGTTTTATTAGCAGCTGGGTGAGGACTGGGCTGCAAAGAGATACAGCCCCCATCAGAAGCAGTCCCTCATGGGGAGCAAAGCCTGGAATTCCAGAAGGGAGGTCTGTTTATAGCTGAGACAGAGGCTGGGGAGCGAAGCCTGGGAGCCAGACATGGCTTAAGGGTGGTCTGGACACTCTTGAGATAAGGCCAACTAAGGACTCTGAGCTCACTGAAGTTCCAAAGCCAACTCACAGCAGCTCACCACCAGGCATCTCCGCTGCCCCCACATTCCCTCCTCTCAATCCAGGAATTTTGGTGCTCATCTCTATAAAGTTTAGACCATGGTGGTAGGAACTTGGTAAGTCTCAGGTTCTTGTGTTGCCCGATTCTCCTTGGATTTGCTGGTTTTGCTTCCTTCCCATGTCTCAGGCAGGTCTTTGCATAAAGAAGTGGGCTGGTAGATCTGCAAAGGTCCCTGTGTGACAGGAGCAAGTTACTCTCTTGAGCCTCAGTGTCCTCTTCTGTAAAATAGGGATATCATTCTTTCTTTCCCAAGGCTTTTTGTAATAATTTCATTCACATCTGAATCTTAACCAAATGGGCCTTTCAGACTTAGATCACGTTTGTGCATGCGTAAAAATGAAAGCATTATGGAGAAGGAATTGGTGAATATATGTCTGGAGCAATAACTTCATCAGAACTGCCACGGTGATTGTAGGACCATTCTGATTCCAGAGGTATTAACATGCAAAACTCAATATTGAAATGCAAAACCCAACAAAATAATAAACACCCTTGTACCTACCTCCTTGCTTAAGAACTAAAACAATTCCCAACGCCACTGAAAGACTGTGTTCACCTCCCTGATCCAATCTCTTGCCTTCCCACCCCAGAGAAAGCACTGTCCTGAATTTTTTCCCACTCCCTTGGTTTTGTTTTACCAAACACGTATCACATATGTAACATATTATTTGTATTTGATCTTGTTTTTGAACTGTCCTGTAGGTAGAATTTTATCTTATTCTGCAATTTGCTTTTTAAAGTTTTTGAAAGAGCAAAACTTATCTATGCATATAATATGTGTAGCTGTCAGTTTTTGTCACTGCATATACCCCTGTCAATTCTGTTGTCAGAAATTTAGGCACTTTCCAGTATTATTTTGCTATAAACATTCTCATGACTGTCTCCTGGAACATGTGTGTTTCTTGGGAGTATAATTAGGAGTGGAATTGCTAAGTCTAGACAATGTTCCTCCCTGCTCTGGTTGCCAACACATGCTGCTGCTCCCTTGCTCCCTCCTCTGAATAGTGCAAGGGGGTGAGAGTTCTGTTCTAGCTTTGTCTTTGGATCTTCCAGGGTTGGGGGGACAAGTTTATAAAAAGGATGGGGAGATGGTGGAGGTAGAGCTTCCAAGCTCCCAACCAGACTTTCAGCCACAGTCCTGGCGAACCAAAGTGAGGAAGAGGTTGAGGAAGGCTGGAGCACTCATCTAGGCTCTGCTGACCATGGGTGTGAGGTGGGGCTCCCCTTGACTGGATCCTGGGGTCTCAGGCTGCAGCACAGTTGACATCACAGAATCCACTGTGAGATCACTGCTGGGCTGTGGGACACAAAAATTCAGCCAGCAAGCCACTCTCAGATGTATGGTTCTTTATTTAAATGGCAGTAAAGAATGCTGGAATAGGCTCTCCAGGGACACTCCTATGAGCTCTGGGCTCCTTCACAGCTTCCATCTCTGGGTCTTATTTAATGGGTTTCAAAGGTCATTGTCTCCATGACGTCCGGTGTCATAGAACCAACCATCTCCAGCCCCTGGCCACCTTCTGCTGTCTCGGCGATGACCACGTTGGTGCTCCTCTCCACCGTCTTAGCCATGATGTCCACATCTCTGCCATATGTTGTGCCCACTGCTTTTGTAGTAAGGTTGGCTCTGACGTTCCTCAGGAAAGAGCTGATCCTGCCAAGTCTCTTGCTGGATCCGGAGCTGGTGGTCGATAAACTCCTCCCAGATTTGTGAGAGGTCCTGGACTCCTTTGAGATGGGCGTGTGGCTGACACCTTTATGCGAGTCCCCGTGCCTGCTGCTCCCTGGGCTGCCACAGCCTTTCTCCTTTTTGTCATCTCTACTGGCTCTGTGGCTGAATGAGGTCCTGCTGGAGGACTTTTGGGCAATCTTGTCCCCCCTTGTTTTGTGGCGGCTTTCACCTGTCCTGCGGCGACGGGAACTCCTTCCAAGAGCCTTGTCCTTTTCCCTTCTTTCCCTCCCCTCCTTGCAAGCTTCAGCGCTGGCCTGGGTTCGCTCCCTTCCATGCTGTCCACTCAGGCTGCTCTTGCTCTGCCGGGTGGAGACAGGAAGTCCTGCTGCTGCATCCATGTCTGTTTCTGCAGCAGTCCTGCTGGTCAGTTCTACTCCTGCAATGGCCAGGTTCATGCTGCCCTCTCGGGAAAGGCTCATGGACATGCTGGAAACATGCTCTGAGGACTTGCCTGCAGCCCCTGCCACGGCCACCTTTGTGCTGTTTGGAGCCATGCTGGCAGTGCCTGCAATGGCCATGTTGCTTTTGCTTCCTCCTGCACCTATGGTGGCCACCCCAGCTATGGCTACGCTCACCTGTCCGGGGGCAGAACTGGCTGCTGCCACACTCAAGGCACCTGCTACGGTGCCTGTTGCTGCCCCTGCAGCTGCCCCTGCTGCTGCTGCCTCTTTAGTCGCCCCTGTTGCTGGCTCCTCAGCAAGCTCCGTAGATGTTTTGGGGATGGATACATTGAGCACGTTAGTGGGTTTGTGAAAGTCATGTTGGAGTCCCTCCCCTCCAGCATAAGCAGCAGAGGTGGCCCCACACACCTCAGAGACCATATGGAGGCTCCGGATGCTGACCTGGTCCTGATCCCCCTTTCCTTGAAGATCCACGGCTTCCAGGCTCCTCCTGTCTTCCTGAAACACAGGCATCCACATCATGTCTTCAGCTGGAATGCCACAGGTACTGCTGTTACTCTCCATGGGTGGCCGCAAGAGGTAAATTAGTTTTTCCCAATAAGCAAAGAGATCATCCCGTGTGTTGAGAGCAGGACACAATTGCAGATAGCAAGATCTGCCAGTGGCAAACTTCAGGCGCAGCTGTTGTTTCTCATGGTCGTGAACAGAGATTCGTACAAACTTCAGAGGGAGGAGCCTGGTGAGCTCTAAGTTCTTGGCTGCCTTGCGTTTTTTTCTCTTGGTGGCCTGGCCATGTCCAGCATACTCTTCGCAGCCGGTGGCTGGTCGTGCCAGCAGCATGACATCTGGGAGTGGGAGGATGGGGCTGGTTCGTGCAATGCCCATGGTCACCATACGGACACGGTTGTGCACATCAATCACTTCTCCCCTTTTGGTGATCTGGATAAAGTCGCTCTCAAATATCGGTGCGTATTTGAATATATCATACTCCCCCTTGTACAGTTGTCGCTGCAGTCTCCCCATAGTGGTGTTGAACATGCTCATGCTGGAGCCACTCTGGGCCGTATAATACGGCAGCAGAGAATCACCATTCATGGCTGTCTTTCAGCACAATGGCAGGGCTGGTGAGGCAGGTCTCTGGGTCTTCCTTGGCCTCGGTGGCAGATGAGGGACCAGTGGTGCTCCTGGGTCACAAAGATGGCTCTGCAGCTTGTCTCTCAATCCCACCCCACCCCACAGGCCCCTGCTGTTGCCTGAGAGCCTCCCAGAGGCCGGGGTGGGGGTGGGAGTACGGATGATTGCTGTAGGGGGTTCTGCGGGGTGCCTGAACTGCAGACTCTTCCAAGATGTAGAGATGCAGGGTGGGCTCCAGAGAGGTTTTCTTCTGGGTCTAACCCCCTGACCTCCACCTCCGATTTTTTTAACTACAGTTTGTAGTCTCTCTCCCTGAGAGTCTACAAACTGTAGTCCTAGTGACAGTAAGTGATCACCCTCTCTGCCTAAACCCCCTTTGCGGCCATATTTATCTTCTGCTTCCCTTTGTGACCTGTTGCTGTCACATAGCCCTTTGTTGTCATCCCCCAGGCCAGGGCCATGATCCCCTCACTAATACTCCATTGCCCCCATAGAGGACAGCCCCACCCTACCAGGTACTCAAGTGGGTGCCAAAATAAAAAATTTTAAATGAGAAAATGTTGTGTGGTTGCTTCCCTTTCCTCACTCCCAATTCAAAAGGTTCAGTAACTAGACAGGGTCTATAGGAATGCAAGATAATGGGATAAATTTGAACCATCTGAGTACATGCTTTAAAATTTTTTTTAACCTAGAATTGGCAGTCTTGGTTCTTAGCCCACTCTTCCATAAAGATCTCACTTCATGCTGACAACGGAAAACTTTAGTAATAACCTCAACCTTTAGTAATAACATGAGAGATTGCTTCTCCTAGGTGCCATACTATGTATCAAACTCCATTCCAGTTTGATACTAGTGCAACTCTTCTCATCTTACAGGTAAAAAAACTGAAGTTGTGTAACTTACCTACATTCGTAGAACTTGTAGGCAGTGGAGGCATTATTTGAATACAGGTGTTGCTGCTTTTAAAGTCTTCCTTCTGAACCACTACAGAACTTACAAAAATAAGTTGCATAATTAATTCTGTGTGTGTGTGTGTGTGTGTCTGTGTGTGTGCGCATGTTATGGAGAATCCAGGACAACCACTTCAGGAAGGGGCTGCGCTGAGTTGGGGATTAAATTATCCAGGGGGCCACCTCTATTCCTCCCCTCCATCATGTTTATACCAACATCCTGTGTCAGGGAGCCCAGATATTTTCTCAAGGCCCCCAGTGTTTGCTCCATGCCTCTTCTTACCCCCTACCCTGTGAAATGCCAGGAGAAGAGGGTAGGATGGAAATTGTGAGCTTACATTCCAGGAGCTTATCAAAGGCCCTCCTCTACTCACCTCTCTACCAGGCAGAAGTAGTTTGGAAGCCATTTACACCCATGGAGAACAGGTGCCACTATACCCCTCCTGCCTTGCCATGCCCACAGAGCTAGTCCAGGAATAAGTTATTTCCAAGCTGTTACCTGGAAGTTCTGAGAAGGAGCCCCTGCTTCCAACTGTCTTTTCTCTCAGCTTGACATTAGGCCCGAAATCCTACCTTAGAGATTCAGTCCTTGAAGATAAAGGCTAGCTCTTTTTTAACGTACACACACCTGTGTATCAACTGATGGATAAACGAAATGTAGAGTATCCATATAACAGAATACTATTCAGCCATAAAGAGAAATAAGGCACTATTACATAATACACTAGCCTGACACTTGAAAACATTATGCTAAGTGAAAAAAGCCAGCCATATTGTTTGAAAGGCCACATATTGTATGATTCTATTTACATAAAATATCCAGCACAGGCAAGTCCATAGAAACAGAAGACAGATTAGTAGTTGCCAGAGGCTGGAAGGAAGGGGAATGAAGAGTGACTCCTTAATGGGTACAGGATTTCCTTTAGGGACAATGAAAAAGTTCTGAAACTAGATAGTAGTGGTTACACAGCATTGTGAATGTACTTAATGTCACCGAATTGTACACTTCAAAATAGTTACAATGGCAATTTTTTGGTATATTTTACCACACACACACACACACAAATGTATATACTCTTGTTTGAAACCATTGCGGTTGAAAAAAAGCATAGGCTTCAGCTTTGGAAAGATCCACTGTGAGACCTCGAGCAAGTTACTGAACTCTCCACTCCCTCATCTGTAAAATGGGGATAGCAGTTGTTGTGAGGATTAAATGGGATAATACATGTGAAGTGTTTAGTGTATTGTCCTACTCAATAAATGTTAGCTTCTGTTAGCATTAGTCCTCAACAGTCCTTTTAAGTGTAAATTCCTTCCTGAAAGCAGTGTTTGATGAGACAGTGTTAAAATCTTCTGGAGTGAGAGCCACCATAAGAAAACAGGATGCTCAGTGGGCAAATGTGGCCGCATTTCAGGCAGATTCTAATTGGAAACACTGTTCACTCCACAAAGAAACAGTACATGAACCCAACCAGAGGTTATGGGACAGGGAAGAGAGGAGAAAGCTTGATATGGGTTGGCGTGTTGAAGGTTTATTCAAAGCCCATGGGGAGAAATTGGAAAATAGTATTTCAGTTAACAGAAAGTGGAAAGATTCCATTCCAGAACTCCTGTCCTGGGCCAGAACCCTTTAAAAGCTCTTGACTCTGAAAGAGGTATCAGGCCAGCTCTCAGGGAAAGCCGGGGGGCAGGTGGAAGGCAAGACAGGGAAGGGAGGGTGGCTTTCCACACCCTGGCAGTGTGACATCACCACTACCAAGAGGAGACAGCTCGGTGCAAAGACACTGTCAAACCGGGTGCTTGACAATGGTGGTGGCCCCATCTAAGCTTATTCTCTCAGATCCCCCCACCTTCCCTTTCCTCTAAATGTGAAACAAAAGAAACGAAATATCTTGATGGTAAATGCATAGTCATCATCCTTTTTAAAATTAAAGTATCAAAACATAACCTTGGCTACATAAAACAATTTTTAATGCATTTGTGACAGAACTTCATTTACACTTACCATACACATCAAGTTTTCTTGCCACAGCCACCACCCGCCCCCAACTTCCTTCCTCTCTAATCCATTGTTGTCCATGGCAGCTTACAAATTGTCTTGTGTTTCATAATGGCTGGTGGCTGGTGCCTCTACCCATAACTAGAAGGTAAATGCAAGGGATGTTTTCCCCTCCACCAAGAAAAGGAACATAGATTATCTCCTGAAAGAAGTGGTGAATGGTATTAACATCAGATGGCTCTTGACAGACTAGGAAAGACCCCTGATGTGCGATTAAGAGAGTAAAATGAAGACACCTGTGCCATAAGTGATCATTTAAAGGAACCATACATGAGGTCAAAGAAGTAGGCACAGAATTCGCACGAATGAATCTGACATTTAACGAAGACAGTGCCTCTCTGAAGAATGGCACCAGTGGCAAGTGGCCAGTTTTTATGTCTAGCCTGTGAACGTTATAGAGAAGCACAAAAAGCAAGGGGGCCTGGCTCTCTTGCAGGCCTAAGGAATCATATGCCCTGGAAATTCCAGGAAATTCAGTGGAATACCTTTCTTTGAATTATCACACCCATGCTGTCTAAAATGGTTCTCTTTCTTCCTCCAGTACCCCTTCCCATTCTTTTCTGATATGTATTTGCCAACAATGAGACGCACATTTAGACATAACAGATGTAACTCAAGTGAGTAACTCTCTGAGAGGAGTTCTGTGGCAGAATGTTAGGGGTCAAAGGTTCAAGCTGAATAGCAGGTGTATGTTTCAGGTGTTTGTACATTCTGAGAAAATAATTAAGGTATCTAGCAATTCAGATTTTATATCAAAATTCTAAACACTAAACTGCTGAACTAAAGGATATGTTTGGTGCTGTGTTTCAGGGTTTGTCCATGAGAAATTGAGCGTAAGGTGCCCGAGACTGAAGAACAGGACTGAAAGTCAACTATCCCATCTAGTGATGCCCCAAAGAGCAAAGGATGACATCTGGAGAAGTTTAAAGCTAGACAACCCCCATAATGGGGAGGGAAAGGCAGGGAATGGCTAGATCTCAACAACCAACAGATTTAAATGAACAGAAACCAACACAACACGTGTTTACCATGTCTTGGTTCCAATATTTATTATTCTGTTAGGTTAGGAATACTAGGATAAATAAGTAATATTTTCTCTTACAGAAAATTGTAATGATACTATTGAGTACAATTAAACACTCTGAGAATTTCACAGAAACATCAGAATTTTAACAGACAGTAGCCAGCATCCTTGTGGCCAGTGTGAGTGACTTCTCACAGCTGCAAACGCCCTGGGCCAGATTTCTTAAAACAGCTACATGACAAAACAATGCTATTGACATCCAATAATGCTGAAGCCTGGGCACCACCTAGGCTCCACTGACTGGGGTTTCCAAATATGTCTCCACTGACTGTGGTTTTTAACCACAAGGAAACGAAAATGGAATATTCTTTGGCTTTTCCAGCCTAGACACAACTCCCGACCTAAGTCATTGAGTGGAGAGTCCTAACCCTTTGGAAGTTGAACTTTCTGCTTTCTTCCTGTGACTTTGGAACTGAGTTTGCAACAGAGGACCTGCCATCATGCTGTCCATGGATTTTGTGTTAATACTGGGAGAATTCTGTTCTCCAGGGGCTGACAAGCTCTTCTGGCCACCTGAATATCTTGAGATACTGCATGTGGTGACAGCCCCGCACCCCCCCCCAAAACTCTTAGAAACCAGATCTGAGAAAAAGCATATAAAAGTCACATCAGTGTTGTGTGACACAAACATCAAAAGAGCACATTGCCTAGTTTTCTCACACACAGAATTTCTGGACATAACAGCATATTTGCTAGAAAGCACAACCCTGGCCATTGCACAACTTCACTAAATGCTGTTCTCACTCCACATCCCCTACGAGTGACAATGGTAGCCACAGTGAAGGAGATGGCCCCATCCCTCCCACCCAAGGTACAGACACTTCTGCATGAATCCTAAGGGTGGGCATCCTGGTTTTTGTAGAATCCAGATGAAAGGCAGGCAGGACACTAGCTGGGGGCCATCTGGAACATAAGAATGGCCAGCGTGGTAAGGCCTAAATCCTGGAGTTGAGGCAAGGATGCACTTGCCCTGGTCCGAGACCCACTCTGGGGCAGAATGGGAAGGGCCCACTGAGTCATTTCAGGACCTCCCGCCTTGTTGGTTCTCTGCTGCTGGGATTCTAGAGGTACACAGGAAGACAGCTCTCCAATGGCTTCAGGGTTTTGGGTATAAAATGAGGATTCAGTGAGGACTCCCCAGTTGCCCCCATACCACGGCTGCTTAGCTCTGCAATGTTCCTTCTTTTATCTGTTGGATAAAGAGGTTTCTCTCATCTTCTGGAGTCCTCCCATTCTGAGCCCGGACAATACATGTGGGCCGATGAAGGTTGAGCATGTATATCAAATGCTGCTTCTCATTCTTGAGTTCCTCAATCTGAGCCTTCAGTTCAGCATTCACACTTTCCAGCTTCTCTGACTCCTGGGGGACAAGCAACAGAGGCATCAAGAAAGGAGCCAAGGGCCAGTGAGGAGGGACTGGCGTGGACTGCTGCCTGGATGCAGGGGTGCACCTGGGACACCCTGGGGCCCATCAAGCTGGGAGAGGAAGATGGGAGATGGGAGAGCAGCACTAGGTTTAGGAAAATGCAGACCCTCTTCTTCAGAGAAGTCCTGGTGATGCCACAGAGGCGGCCTGTGACTCTACTAATACTGAAGCTTCAGAGCAACCAATAGTTCAGATACCTCATTTGCATGAGTCAACAGCCCATATGCAGGTCTTCTGGAACCCGAAAGGGCCTTGGGAGCTGGGGAGAAATCCAGACTCATGGAGGCTTAGTCGATTCTGAGTCACAGATCTCAATGAGAAGCTCATCTCCCCAGAAAAAATGTATATGGCAGCACACGAAATTCCCCAATTTTCACTGATCCCCTGAAGCAATCAACATAACCCTCTGGGGATCTGTGGGACCTGGGTTAAGACTCTGCCCTGACCTAACCACATTTGGAGGAGGGACACAACCACTGGAAAGACTGCTGGGCACCACCAGCCACCCTGCCTACCCACAAAAGCTCTATCTCTCTCAAGGCGGGCCGGCTGAACACAGCCAGGGGTGCAGCTTGCTGGCTAAGCCAGGGAGAAGGACTGTAGAGTTAGGAACCAGACAAGAATGCAAAGCAAATGTAACCACTGCTTGTGGATTAAGGAAATTACTTGTTTGAAGAGATTAATTAAAGGCTTTTCATAGTGAGCCAAATGAGAGCTGGCAGCTTCCTTTTCTCAGGAAAACAGTCAAGTGAAGCCTCTTTAACTGGGTTGGCATGTCCTGCAGCCTGGAAGCTGATGGACATGTATGAACCGGCCGAGGCTGCTGGGAGTCGGGCATCAGACGAATTCACACACCTGCTTTTATATATCCACAGTCACATCCATTGTGTTTACTGCTTTGCCACCTCCTTATTCTGCAACTGGCATTTCTGCTACCAGCTACAAGGCCCTTCTTGGGAAATTATAACCAGGTAAGGGGTTTTCTAGCTCTTCTTCTGACAGCCACATGAAGCTGGTGAGGACAGGCATGAGCGAGAGGAAGGGGAAGGCTAGAAGGCACTTACTTTCTGCAGGCACTCCGTCTTCTCCTTCTTCTTGTTTCGGCACTTGGCCGCTGCAATCTTATTTCTTTCTCGCCGCCTCTTTTTCCTTTCATCTTCTTCAGGGGCTACCTATAAAATCCAAAAGGGACACATTTAAAGGGTAGTAAGAAATGCCACCTATCTCAAATACACTGCCTTTTACTGCCAGCAAAAGCTGGCAGACAAGGTCCAGTGCTAGTGCTAAAGGACCCCAAAAAAATAAAGCTCTAGACTTTTGTATGAAAACCCCTACACACACATATACACACGTAAGTGAAGAACAAAAATCAAAGTTAAAATTATACCAGCACTATATTAGTAAAAGTTAGCCAATTTTGAAAATGCATTTGGATTTTGAGATGAGGATAATATGCAAATTGATAACTATTGGTACTAACTGTAATCATTTAAAGCTGAAACAGATTCTGTTTGGTAAACATCTTTCTTTGGGAACCAGGAACAACCTCAGGATCATCACGTAGCCACCCTCTCTCGGCCTCTTCTTCGATTCAGACCCAAGGGCAAACCCCATTCTCACCTCTGACTTCACCTGGAGCATCAGAGCACCAGCTTCCCAAATTTGGGAGAAGCCCATGATGCTCCTGCAGAGAAGGCACCTAAGCCCATTCCCAACCAAAGTGGCATTAATCGGCCCATGTTGGGGTGCCACCTGCAAGTGGTGAACTAGGACCATCTTTTAGGTCAGTCTCACTACTCCTTGCCCAAAGGCTGCAGTCATGCCAGTTTAGTTAGTGTGAAACAATTCCACTTGCCACCACGAGGAAAAGGCCAATAAAATGGTGGAAGCTCAGTTCTGACATCCTTAAGCCACTATGACATCACCAGAAGCCGCCTCCCAGACTTCTCACCATGTTTATTATTCCAGGGGTCTTATGCAAGGTTGCCAAGTGTGGAACACTGCAAGTGTGTAAGACAGAAGTGAACTTGGAGCAACACCTGGTCCCAAGGCTGTGAACATTGCTACAGGGAAGGGTGGGGCAGGCTGCCTGGTCCTTGCTCTACTGTCTGGGTGCTTGGGTCCTAGTAGTGATAAAAATAGGGACCACCACACTCCATGCTTCTTCAGAACAACTGGACACAGAAGGTGGCCTCATCCTGACTCATGGCTTTTAAGTGCCATCTAAATGCTGATAATTTCCAACTCTATTATCTCTAGCCCAGACTCTCCTCTGAACTCCAGACTCACATATTCAACTGCCTGCTTGACATCTCCACGGGGGTGCAGAATAGGACAGATCTCCTGCTCTTGCCACCACCCTAACCCCTATAATCCCAAATCTCAGCAGCAAATGGACGCTCCATTCTTACAGCTGTGCTGGCCAGAAAACTCAGTCACCCTTGAGTCTTCCCTTTCTCTTATACTCCACATCCAATCTATCAGCAAATCAGCTTTACCTTCAAGTCAGATCCAAAGCCAACCACTTCTCCGCACCTGCACTGCTCCCTCCTGACGCAGCCCCCCGCCACACCCACTCACGTGGATTCCTGCCATGGCCTCCTTTCTGCGCACTCAGCTTCTGTCTTGCCCCTACTGCCCATTCTCAACATGACAGCCAGGGTGATCATTTAAAAATATAAATCAAGGCTGGGCATGGTGGCTCACGCCTGTAATCCCAGCACTTTGGGAGGCTGAGGCGGGTGGATCACCTGAGGTCAGGAGTTCGAGACCTACCTGGCCAACATGGAGAAACCCCGTCTCTACTAAAAAAATACAAAAAATAGCCAGACATGTGGCGGGCACCTGTAATCCCAGCTATTTGGGAGGCTGAGGCATGAGAATTGCTTAAACCTGGGAGGCAGAGGTTGCAGTGAGCCAAGATCATGCCACTGCACTCCAGCCTGGGTGCCAGAGCAAGACTCTATCTCAAAAAAAAATGTGCGTGTGTGTGTGTTGAATCTTGTTGCTTCTCTGCTCAAAACCCTTCTGTGGTTTCCCACCTCACTCTGAGCACAGGGCCACATCTATACAACAATAGTCTGTAAGACTCAATATGACCAGCCCCTATTTATCTCCCACCCCCATACTCTGCCCCACTGCACAGCCCACCAGGCACCAATACTCCCACCTCAGTGCCCTGAATTTCTTTTACCAGATACCCACATGACTTCTTCCCTCTCCTCTTTCCTTCTTCCTTTCCTTTTGACCTCTGCTTAAAAGCCACTATCAGTGAATCCTTCCCTGACTTCCTAATTTAAAACAGCAACCCCGGCTGGGTGCAATGGCTCATGCTTGTGATCCCAGTGTTTTGGGAGGCT